TTCAACTTTTAACCTGTTCTGCAGATAAACAATGGACACCAGAGAATAATTTGCCTTAGTTTCCATTGTTATATTTTTCACGACTAAACTACTAATGTTTCCATTGTTATATCTTTCACAGGAAGACTACAGAATTTAACAAGCATTAATAGAACAAAATTTTTATGTTCTGTCTTTTACAGGTGTTAAAGAAAAGCACAAGTGAACATAAAAGGAAAATGAGAACATGTTACAAATTATGGGTTAGCACGAGAAGAAAGAAACATAATAGCAGCACTTTTATATTACAAAAACAATCATCCGACCCAAACATTTAGCCAATGAAAATCATTTGAGGAGTGACTGAAATCAAGCCAACCCATGAACTTTGCTCCATCTAATAATTCAGTTCGACAAAATTTGAAATTTTAAAGCAATTTTCAAACTGCTAAACCCTAAAGGAAAATCAATCACAACCTAATAAACATGAATCCGGAAACGACAAATACTCGCAGTTGGACAGTCAGTCAATCTCGACAAGTATTGCGACTGTGCACCCCAAAATCGATCAATCAAACAAAATCCAAAAACCCCATGTCAACCACTTGAAGATGCAATAAAAACTAGATAGAAGGAAACCAAAGCCAACTCGTTAAATGATGCAAGCATAAATTAGAAAAGAGATAAAAAGAGATTACAAATTCTCGAACAATGCCCTTATAGACAAGGACGGGGATGGCGATGCCGAATAAGCCAACGAGAGCTAAGTTGCGGCGAGTCCAGCGGAAGTTGTGCTCGAGATTCTCTCTTGCAGAGCCCCAATCTTCAATGAACCTGTTTTTGTTTGCCTCCATTCCTCCTCCCATTTTTCTGCTCTCTTTCCTGTCTCGCTGTCTCCGCTTATGACTCTTTTGCTTTTTCTGCTTCCCGTCTCAAGATCCTCGGCTTTACGTTCTTTGTATTCCAAGCCCACTGTTTGGCTGCTGTTGTTATCTTATTCCGAGTTTACCCCAATGTTTAATTGAAATTGGATATACACTGTTAATTGTCTCATACCTCTCTTACATCCATGTGGCCGTGCACCATTTTACTCCTTATAACCAGTAGCACTTTCATCGTTTGCTCTTTGAAGAAGCTTTTATGGGATAAATGATTATTTTTTAGAAGAAAAATAATTCACAGTAATTAAATTATTAAAACTTTTTAAATTAACAACTATTTATAAATATCAATTAAACTTACTTGTATCTAAGTATTTTATTCAATGTCCAGTGCATCCAATCCTAAACTCTTAAGTAATGCTACTTTATCAATGCATCTCTATTTCTGGTCTTTTCGGGTTCACCTTTGCTCGGGGTCCATGTTCCAGCACTCAATAACCTGCAATTGGATAATCATGTCCTATTTATTGTTTCACTTACCACTCCTGCCGTTGCATAAATGCAATGTGCTCTATTGATTCTGTGCCTTTGCCTTTGCCCTTGCCTCTCGTATTGGCTGTCACGGATGTCTGCCATTTAGGCCTCTGAATAAATAAATACAGGTGCCCATAAAGAGGAGTCCTCTTTGTAATTTTGTGTTAGTCATGTTATATATATATATATAAAATATTATCACAAAATCTAACCATCGATTAGAATCTAACAAATATACCAGTCAAGAGAACTAACATTGTCTGATTCATTCATACAATGTTTTCACCCAAAAAACAACAGAACCCAAACCTGGCTTCTCATCCAGTCAAAAACCAGCACTGTCATGCACAACTCATTTTCTTGTTTAGTTCTCAAACTTCCCATCATTGAGATAGTAGCATGTATAGCAAAGGAATAGATCATGTTGGTGTAAATCGATGAAACTTGTAGGTCAGAGGTTCAACCCCAAACTATGAAGCCGATCACCACCGTTGGATCACCCCCTACCCCACACAAGTTTTCTATCACAGTGTTGATAATGCTGGCCCCACATCAACCTCCCAATCACATGTACCGACGGCTGCAAACATACAAAAATCCCCTTCAACGAGAACATGCGCCGCTAGTTAGCAATTTACACAAATCACGAGACGTTTACTGGTACTGATACTCTTGCATTAAAAGCAACGAAAGAAGAAAAGCAGAGGCTCATCAATTATAGGGACTTGATTGAGAAAGAGCGAAAATGTGTAGGTTACTAACAGAAATAACAATAACTTATCTAAGTGTAGTGGATGTTAGAATAAATGAAGTGCATTGACTCTCCACCTCCATCATGGGACGCTCACATTCACTTCTCCAATTCCCCATTTAACTACCCTACTCCTTGTCTCCTCGTCTTCTTCGTTTTCTTAAGCTGCGAAATACCTAACCGTTTCCAAAGTATTTTTCCAACTCTGCAGAAGAAGAAAACAAAGCTTCATTTTTTGAGCTTAAACCCAACAATGCCATCTTGTTTCTGAGTCAACGTATAGCTTTCATTTCCTCAAATGGGTTGCTGTGTAAGCACTAACAGAGGGGAACCTCGTGAAAAGCAAGCACATTTGCAAGTGGGTCTTGAATCTTTTCACCAAAAACCAAGCCTTGAAAGCAGAGCTCCACCACCTTCAGCTGAAGAGGAAACCGTGAAAGAGGTTTTGTCTGAAACTCCAAAACCCAAAGCTCACATCTTTATTCCACAAGAAGAAGAGAACAAGAAAACCCAGATAGAAAAACCTGCCTTTGTCAAGATCCAAGAAAAAGAGAGTCTCAATTTTGACAACGAGACTGAGCCAAAATCACCTGTCATTGAAGAGTCAGCTTCAGAAGATGTTTCCGAGATTTGCAGTGTGAGTGTAAGTGAAAGCGTTTCTACTATAACTGATAGAAGAGATGAGGAAGAAGTGAGGCAGCAAAAAATGTTCAGATCTCCTGCAAGATGTGGGTCAAGGAACCGGGTCGTGGGTCGGTCACCTTCTCGGAAGCTTGACCAGTCACCTGGCAGAAGAAATGGGGTTGTTAATGGGGGACCGTCAGTGAGGTTGGTTCAAAACAGGGAACCCCCAGTGAGACGTGGGTTAAGACCCGACCCGCCAAGGAAGGATCCGGGTGAGAGTTCAGGGAGGAGGTCAAGGTCTCCTGCTGTGAATAGATCTGTAATGGGTCGGAGCCCGTCTGGAAGAAGGACTAATAATTCTCCTGGTAGGGTCAGAGGTGACGCGGGAGAGCGTAGTAATAGCAAAAAAGTGGAGCAGCATCAGCACCACCATGGTACTACTACCATGGAAGGGAAGTGGCCAAGTAGCAATAACAATGGTCCTACAACAAATGCTCCAAATGAATCACTTGAAAATCCTCTTGTATCCCTTGAATGTTTCATCTTTCTCTAGAGATGAAGAAAATGCACCTTAAGTTTCATTTTGTAATTCCACTTTCTTTTTCTCAACATGAACTCTATGTTTCTTGTTTCCAGTTTGTGAATATTGATTTAAGTCAAAGGTCAATCTGGACTGGAAGTGGAGGATTTGGTGTGTAAGTTTGGTGTATCAGAATTCAGAACGCAGGGCTGAAAAGAGTGTGAGGCTGTTGTCTTGTCTGCCACTGCTAGATTTGAAGTTCTGGATACGTGATGCCATTTGATTGACCTGTTATATTAATTTATGCTATGTTGTATTCTCTACTCTTGTTTGCTGCTGTGGGAAAAAGGATTTGCAATTTCTGCAAACAATGATTCAAGCTGGTACAAAATCATTGCGCCCTTTTTCCCCCTCTCTTTATCCGAAAATTCAAGGCTTGAAAGTTGAATCATCATGGGATCCTAACGTTCAAATAAAAGCAGAATATGCCTATTTCTATGTTATTTTTGGTTGACAGGAGTTCTTGGTGAGACCACTTTAAGCACAAAAAGTTGATCTTTAGACTTTAATCATGATTAGATTAGATCAAAAAATGTGCATAATTATCTCTGAAACTGGGATCTTGAGCAGGCTAACAACTTTGGGGCATGCCAATATTTGCAAATCCTTTTAGGATCTACCTTTTCTCTCACAAGGCCATGAAACAATCTGAATGGGTTCTCATGCTGATTCCCCCATTGACAGAAAGAAAGAGTGAGAATGATCCATGCTTGGACCCACTCTTCCCTTTATAGCGCCTAAATTAGAGAGAATCAATGGAGGAAAGTAATGTACAACCAAAAGGGAAGCATGGCGAGTTGCCCAAATTAAATATTCTACTGATCCTACAATGCCACATTAAAAACATAAAATTTGGAGGATGGAAAGAGGTGAACTCCATAGTTGTAGCCGTTGAAGAATAAGAGAGTAAAGACAGTAGGAGTGGTCCTATATTTAATATTAATCCGTTAATGGAATTATGTTGGACTCTCTCCACCAAATGAATAATGGGGGAAGATCAGATCAGTTATTTTGGACTCTTTCTTCAGCTTTCTATTGTCAGTCTCTTTTTCATAAGCAAAGACAAATAAGGAATCTGCCCAAAGTTCAAAAGTTCAAAAATTTTCAGCCAAATGGCTTTAAATTTTGTTTCCATTGGAAAAAAAATTATTATGGAACCTTGGCTGTTTTCAACTAGAGGACATGGTTTTGCTTCTGCTAGCTAGCGTTGGATGGATTAGTTAGAGACACAAAAAACTCTCCCATGCAACGGGCAGTTCTTTAAGGCTTCTGTTCTGAGACATACGAGACAGTTTCAATGGCGAAACTTGCCTGCACAAAATAGTTCAAACGGGCATGAGTCTGGCTACTGCCCAAGAAAGGGATAAGCGAAGCCAAGCATGCAAAGAGTCTCCTAGAGAGTCTTACGTATAAGTCATCCTAGAGAACCTATTAACATGTTTTCTTTAATGTAAGAAGTCAAACAAAATGTCCAAAATTCATGGGCACTAGTTTAGTTGGGTTGTAGATGAATTTCAGGCTTAGTTTTCTCGTACCCTACAGACGGCGT